CTAAACCCTAAACCCCAAGCCCAAACCCCTAAACCCAAAAAGGTAAAGCGCTGACTGCAGCAGTCATACTTGGAGGTTCATATTCATGGGTAGTTCTAAGTGGGGTTATAAGTCCCCTAATATGGGTTATAATTCTAGTTACCCTACTTATAACCCTATTGATAACTACCCATGAACCTCCAAGTGGGAGTGTGCTCGTCACTTGAAGCATAGGGGTTCAGGGTTTAGGGTCAAGGGTTTGTGGCTCAAGCTTTAGACTTTAAGCTTTAGTGGTAAGGGTTTAGTGAGAATGCACCGGGATGGATTGAAGGCGAGTTGAAGGTTCTGCGACCAAGAAATGCATGTTGTTATGGATAAGGTGGGAAGCAAGTAATTCCTTTAAGCACCCGTAAAAGACAACTTAAACTTCCCACCTCGGCCCCCAAAAACTCACGAAGCTCAGCCGGGCAGCGGCGAGGGAAAAACCTTCAGGGCCCTCCAGATCCAAACCTTGCAAGGACGGGTTTAGGGTTTAGGGTTTTAGGGTTTAGGGTTTAGGGTTTAGGGTTCAGGGTTTAGGGTTTAGGGTTCAGTCGCATTTGTGCTGTTTCAAATTACGCGTGCTTGCACGCATGGTGCGCCTTAAGGTGCGCCAAGGGCTAGGGCTAAGGCTAAGGCTAAGGCTAAGGCTCTCTCTCTCTCTCTCTCCCGCAAGCTTGCCTAAATCTCTGGCACAAAAGAGCCACTCACAGTCTGCGGCTTCTTGAAAGCTCATCCAAGGAGGGGGACGCCAGGTTCCAAAGAAGCTCGGTAAAATCGTCATCTGCGGCTGAAGTCCTACACCCCAAAGCTGAGGTGTGTGTTTGGATCTCTTTTGAATCTCTGTGCTGCTGAAGTTGCAGAGAGGATCTGCATGCCTGGGTAAATGGTGGTCCTCTCAAGTCGCAGGCTTTGGCAGTCGGGTTCCCCAAGATCACGACCACTTTACCGATTTAGAGTCGAACAAACAGACCCCGAATAGTATCCCACCATTGAATCGGTTGAAGATAAGGCCGCTTTCAAGTAAAAAAGAAGACCGCTGTCAACTGAAGGTCTCGAGGTCGACGATTCGAACTCAAAGGCTCTCTGTTAGGATATAGGGTTGAGGGGTCAGGGTTCTGTCCGATATCTGGAGGCTTCAGATACACGGCTTGGACATTGCAGGGCGAAGAAAGAAGGTTTCTGGATCATCGACCCTACAAGTGCTTCTGCCCGGCACGAAACACAAGCTTAGAGTTGCATGTTGAGTACCTCCAAAGTAGAGTCGGGCTTGTAAGGTCGATAAAAATCATATTCTGTGGGACTAGCAGGGGAATATTGATTACTAATTTCTTCGACGCTCGTACACCGGTCTAGGACTCTGGGATCTTCCAAACCTACAATGTCAACACCCACCCCGACGACCACGGCTTTCTGGCACTGTTGACACATGTCAAGGGCTGCCAAGCCGGAAACCCGAGCCCCGAAGCCCGAAAAGCGGAGACTGTGAACCTGAAACCCTGGACGATTCCCTGAACTGTCCCGATCGGCCGCCCGAGGGGATACCAACCTCAGCTACCGCGAGGTGGGGTTCAGGTGTAGGGTTTATGCGGGGGTGTTTTGGCACTCGCGCTCGACGAGGTCAGGCGAGGAGGTTTAGGGTCTAGGGCTTAAGGTTGCGGTACAATGAGAGTACAGAGAGGCCCAAACCTTACTACCCCTATCTCTTGCATTTACAATTGGCAGATAGGTGCCGACGCCAAGACCAATAGCATAGGGCTCGGAATAATTATAGTCATAGTACCCCCATACAGTCCTACCTACTTAAACATATACCTACCAATTCCAATTATTAAGGACCCTATATTGCACTCAAAAAAACCCAGAATCCAAATCTTCAGGCTTGCTGGGGAAGGATTCGAGCCGAAGATGCCAGTTGACGATCCCAAGGGCATTTAAAGTTGTTTTTCAAGGTTATTTTTGCCTCCCACGTAGCAAGAGCTCGCATTGAAGAGTGGTTCGGTGAGGACAACTGAGGGATTGAATATAGGGAATACAGGGGCCTCCATAGTTAGCAAACAACTCCTTAGTTCCGGGCTTTTAGGTTGAGCTAAACCCGCCCGCAACCCGGAGCCAGAGCTCCAAGAGCCCTGCAAACGAAGTCCAATCGGCTCATGTAGTCGTACCAGTGGAAGAAGGCATGCCAGCCCTGCTTTGCCAGATACTTCGTGGCCCTCGCATTGAACCTGAGTTTCGGGTTTAAGGTGGACTGCTGTAGACTGTAGGCGAAATCTTGTCCCTTACTCATGCGAGGCTTTTGTGGCAGGAGGTTAAGGACTCTATTGCACCATCGCTATCTCCTACCCACTTCTGGTCAAGACTGGCTTTATTCGGCGCCCTAAAACAGCAGAGACCTCCGAGAAGAACAATGCAAAGACAACGCATCTCCACAAACACGCCGCGGGTTGCCGGGACTCAGGGTTTTTTGACACTCAGATTCGGACAAGCCTGGCAGGTCTGTAGCGACACTGGCTCAACGACTCAGGGTTTAGGGTTTAGGGACGTGTCTTAGCCCAAACCATGGCGGCCTCCCTCTACTTCCTGTCACTACTCGGGCCACCAGGAATCGCAGCTATCTTTACAACAGGAAAACATGGATCCGAATATAGTATTTTGTGTATCTGTATAGGTACATACACATATTATATTGCGCATTGTGTCTATCCGAACGCTTTGGAAACCCGGCAGCATCAAGCCCTCTAAGTTGCAATTAGAGGGGTTAAGGTTTCAAGCTTTAGGGTCGGCGGATTTAGGATCTGCATGGGAAGAACATCCCCTACCCCCGCCCCCATTAGTTTCTGAAACTCCCACAGAGCTCTCACCCTGAATGCAACGCCGTGGCGGGAATTTCGGTGCGGACTTTGTATCTCCAGGCATCATTGGAAGGCTGTTGCTTGATTTCGGGTTTAGGTTTTTGCCTCCTACTTCGCAAGGACAAGCCCGCATGGCAGGGTGGCTTAGGGTTTAGGGTTGCGTACCTTCAGATAGCCTCAGCTTGCCAAAGTCGCCCTCCTTTGTGAGCGCCGAGAGGCCAGGGATCAAACTCGTGGATCAAGTACCCATATTTCCTTGGCTTACGAGTGGGCTGAACGCCAGCCCTGAAAAATAGAACCATCAAATTTCACAACCCCAGAAGAGCAATTAAGAACTAAGAACCCATTGAATCCTGGACACCCACAGAACTCAAGGAACCCCAAAACCCAGATCAAACTGGTGACCCCTGTAAAAACCTGATACAACCGCTCTAGAGCCCTGGACCCTTCGTGTTGGTTTGAAAGCCCTGGGTCGACTCTCTTGGAGAAGAGCTACACGACTTCAAATGCCCGGAGAGCCCTCATCAGCGTCGGCCGAATCAAGAAGTTCCAGTTTTGGGTTCAAGGTTTCGGGTTTCGGGTGCAGGATGTAGGGTTCTGTCTCTCTGCTGTTGTATCCAGAAGCCATGCCAAGGGTGTGAGGTTTGGAGTTTGTGGCGTGGGGCCTGTCAGGATGCAAGGGTTTATTGCATACTGTTACCCAAAGAAGTCAAAAGCATCTTGGTGCAGAGGACACATGCTTGGCAGAAGAGAAGGACGGGAATGGTCTGAACCATTTCTATCTGGGCTTATGCAGTCGCAGCAACCCACTGACCTCCTCAACCCAGAAAGCAAGGGCGAGTCTTGCCGGGTTTCGGGTCGCTTTGGGGGTGGGAGGATTTTATGTCAGGGATTCGCACTCTCATTGGTAAGTTCAAGAAGACGACCCCAAAGATCAGCCTCTTTGAGTTCAGAGGCACTTGACAGAGGCATAATTAATCCTTTACCCCGAAGCCCGAACCCGAATTCGTCGTAAGCCCCTCAAGCAGGAAACCCCACAGACGCCGCCTCCAAAGCCCCCGCTCCGAATGCCCAAGTGCCCTGAAGCTCAAAACTGAACAAACTCAAGGCAGGCCGCTGCACAGAGAGGAGACGGATCCGATAGGCCCAGAGACAAGCACCCAAGAGGATCAGAGCCTGCAGCCAACATTCTGACAAGCGGCCTAATAGTGGAACCTGATTAAGAAACCTTGTCTTGATTAGGGCTCCCTATATATCTGATCCTAATATTTTGGGGGTTGTAGGACCCGGGTTTCTTACTCAGGTTCAAAATTCTTTTCGCACGCATTCGTCATCCCTTTTTACAGCAGGCCTCGTACACAGCAGCCCATTCGTCATCCCTAAACCCTGAACCCCTAACTCCTAAACCCTACATGATGCACAGCATGGTGTTTATCATGTCTGTGTCTGTGGACTGAGGCGTTTATCATTCTTACGAATGGTATCAATTTCGGTTTGAAGGTTCCAAGACTTACCGTGAAGCCCCAGTTCCCTAATGCATGTTTTACTGTGCTTACTTGGAGGTTCATGGGTAGTTATAAATGTGGTTACAAGTAGGGTAACTATAGTTATAGCCCACATTAGGGGACTTAAAACCATCCTTATAACCACCCATGAACCTCCAAGTAGGAAATACAAAGGAAGAAGGTATCCAACTTTCGAGGCTCCCATGTTGGACCTTGAAAAGCACACCGGCGGTCCTTGACCACACCCACAACGAGGTCAAGCAGGCCGCGCAACAGCCTCAGCCAGAAGATCACAGCACCCCTTAGTCTCTAAACCGTTACTGCCTCTCAACAGGCAGCGAGCTACATGACTCTTGACTGCACCATCATCACCCCCGGTCTCGCCTCTGAGACTCTGGACAAATCCTCGATGGACAAATCCACGAACCTGAAACTAAGACGCCCTAAACCCAATCCGTACACCCTGAAGTGACCCAACAAAGCCCAGCGGCCGTTGCGCAAGGGCCATCTGGCAGCTTGTCTACGGGTGGGGGCTCAGAGCTGCCCTACAACCCTAAACCCTAAACCCTAGACCCTGGAACTCTGAAGGACTCCAACCCTTACAAGACAATGCTGATGTGAGGGCCTTAATAATTAGACTAGGGTTTTGGGGGTCTCTTGTACTATAATCAGAACAAGGAACCCTCAAAATCGTAACAGCAATTATTTCGGCCCCTATAGTACCCCTGAACTAAACCAAAGGCCGAACGCCTCAAGTTTGGACCCCTTTGTCGCAGTAGGCCTTTGTCGGAGGGTTTCACTCTCGCAGCTTAGTACTCAAGTTTGTTCTGAGGGTTTAGGGCCTATCAGGGGTTCCCGAAACCCTACACCTCAGACCGACAAGACTTTAAGAGCGCTTTAGTCTTACCACCGTTGTTTGTGTTGGGTTTCGGGTGTGGGGCTTCGGGTTGAGAATTTGGGGTTTAGAGTTTCGACTCACACACACTCGCAGAGCAGGCATGGCTTCAAGGCGTTTAGGGTTTCGGGCACCCCGGGAGACTCAGAATATCACACGGTTTAAACGTGTCTTGGCTATTATTGCCTCCCGGATGCAGGTGAAGTTTGGAGCTTCGACTTCCTAGCTTAGGACAAAGTGATGGCTCGTGGTTTATTTTTCCCCACCCTTGTGGTTTAGGCTTGGGGGTTTCGGCACTCACGCTTGGACACTCCAGGCGAGGCATGCGGGTTTAGGGTGGAAAGAAGTCGAAACCAATAGACCGAATGAAGGGACTTACAGCATCACCTACTAGTACAACGACCCAAAAGTGTTTCAATAAGCCCCACAGACCCTCGAAAGAACACCCTATAATACTCTAGTCCAAACTACCCTGGGGTCTGTGAGTACGATAGGGGCGAAACAGTCGCAAAGTTCCCTGAACCCCGAGGACGATAGCTTCGTGGTTGCTGGATGACGAGACTACTCAAGGCAGCCGCAAACGTTAACGCTCAATGACAATCGACATAGCACCGACCAGTCGATTGTATATCAGCGCAATAGTACCCGGCAACTCACATAACTACCCCTAAGCTCTAGAGCGGGGCGACCCTCTTCTAAGATAGGCCTGCCTCTGGCGACTAAAGCGGCGCCATCCGCCGGCCCGGAGTGGCCCGTAACGCTGCCCAGAGCCCAGAGGTTGAGGGTGCGGCGGTAGAACGGGTGTTTAGGGTGCACCGACGTACCCTGAAGTTTTAGGCAGGCTCCGGCTGTGGAGGCAGCTTGCTAGTTTGTCGGGTACAAGGACGGTGTGCTTGCTTCTCAGTAGGCTCACGCGATGAAAGGCTCCGGCTATCTTCAGTGAGTTCGGGCGCCAAACCGGTCACATAAGTATGTCGAACAGAGTGGCATGCAAAACTTCCCGGTCCTTCGTACGATCTATGTGGAAACCACAAATTTTGTGTGTGTGTGTGAGTACGCACATACATACATGCATACATTCATTCATTCATTCATTCATTCAGTCAGTCAGTCAGTCAGTCATTCGCTCATTCATTCGTTCGTGCATTCATTCCTTCATTCTTTCATTTCAGTTCATTTCATTTCATTGCACACCTAGGACCTATATTATATATATATATAGTATGCATGCTTGTGTGTGTGCATGTGTATCTGTATTTTAGATTCTAATGTTTATGTTGTTATACATACATATAAAAGCACATATACTTGTATTCATGCATGTATTCCTCTGTGTGTGTACGTCTGTATACGAACGTACATATACTCATCTATCTATCTACCTACCTACCTACCTACCTACCTACGTACCTACCTATCTAGTAAGATAACCTAATCTATCCATGCATGGATACATGGATGAAGGGATGGGTGGATGGATGGACGGATTGATGGATTGGTGGATTGAGGGATTCGTGGCTTGGTGGATTGATGGATGGGTGTACGTATGTAAGCATCGATGTCCGAATGAAAGCTCCAGATTGCGTGCGTGTGTGTGTGTGTGCATTACAAGATACACATACATACCCCCCCATACCTTACACTCTACAAGCTTTTCCAGTTCGAGTTGCCGGGCATTCAAAACAGTTATGGTTCAGAGTAGCGGGTTGAAGGTTTCAGGATTCTGGCTCAGGGAGGCTCTGAAGGATTCCGAGGCCTGGGCGACCTTGGGCGTGGGAGCTTAAACCTAGCAAGGGCCTTCAGGGTCTTCAGGGTCTAGGGTTTTCAGGTTTTACACTCTCACAACTCGGACAAGCCAGGCGAGGATTCATAGGTTTCCAGGTTTTAGGGTTTAGGGCCAGTTTAGGGGTTATTGTACAGGGTTCAAGGCTTAGGATTTGAGGGAGTAAGAGTGGACCCCTTGGGTCAAAAAACCAAAAGATTGCTGGTGTCCTTCGGCAAAACCATGGGGTTCACACAGAAGGCCAGAAGAACATGGTAGAAGGCCAGTGCAGCGATCCACCTCAGTTGGGCTTTGACTTAAGCTACCATTATAGGATACCATAGGGCTCTATAGTAAATAATAAGGCTTCCTGACTGTGGTAACTTACATTTAATTCCTTGGCACTAACCCAGGCTTCTAAACTACCTGCCAAGCTGACTACAAGCCGCCCAGAGGAATAGGCGGCGTGGAACTTCACAACTCGGACGATCCAGGCTAGACTACAGTTCGAAGGACGCGTGTGCAATCGCTGTGAAAGACCAGAGTATAAGCACTAGTAAAACTAATAACCTCTTATATGATTATGATGGTGATAGCTGTCGTGTTTGAGACTGCTACAGCTCTACGATGCTTTGGGCTGGCGGCTGAAGCCATTGACTTAACCGGGCAAGTGACATGCACGAAGGCTCGCTTTGAATGTCCAGCGCACAGTTGCGGGTTCATGCCATGGTGTGAACAAGTTAAATGGGGAGTTTTGGGCAAGTTTAGACTCTGGCAACTCGGCAATGCAGGCGAGGTTGGTGCTTGGTTCACGGGGAGGCTCACATGGCCCCAGGTCGGCAGAAGCAAAGAACTACTTCCCAACTGTGGGCCTGCTCCCGTTCACAAGGGAAGGCAAGACTAATATCACGCATTGTCGAAACATGCAGAGAGCCGACTCATACATGGGAACGTGAAGCTTATCACGAGCCTAACTGGGCAAGTTTAGGGTTTAGCGAATGGTCTAGAGTGCATCACATTATTCTCTATACTTACAAAGGAAACCCCAAGCCGCAGATCCAAGATTGAGGCGTAATTGGAGCAACGCGCCCTGAACCATAGTGCCAAGTCTAAAAACCAACAATATACCCAGCCTGAAATTCCCGAAAATCGTCCTTGAAGGAAACTTCACCCTAAACCCAAACCGTCCTTTAAAAAGGCTAAACCCGAACCTTCCAAAATCTAACTAACCCCTTTGCAACATGCCTTCTGCGCGACTTCACCCTTTACATCCCCAAAACCTTCACTGAAACAAACCATTTAAAAAATGCAAAAAAAGACAGGGCCGTAGGCGACTTTACTCGGCAAGCTCCAGAAATCCGAGCTTTCGCACCTCTGAGAGCAAGAAAACGCGGCCTTGATCCCTGCTCTGGGCTCGGCGCGCCAACGGCACTACCAGCAGCGTCCTTGGGCAAACGGTTAGGCTGGTCCGAGCTCGGTGTCTTTGGGTTAGTTAGAGCTTGGTGTTTAGGACTTTGGTTTTCAAATTCTCACACTAGGAAGAAAGTTTAGAGTGATGAGAGTACTTAGCCCACAAGGCGTGCCGCAGTTCTGCGGCTGCGCTGGGGCGTGGTGCACTCGGTCGATCCAAAGAAATTGCATTGAGGCACAATGTGCCGATCTCATGGCACCAAGTCCAGGGCTTGGTGAAGTCTGTTAGAGTATATTTTAGATTATATTTATATTTTAGTATAGTATATGAAAGTATTTTATCGTATTATATAGCACATTCTAGTATGATGTAGCAATCTTATCGTATATCATGTGCAACCACACGCTCGGTGTGTCTGAAGCCGAAGCAGGGAAACACTCCTTGTCTTCCCGCACTCCTCCTCCGCCACGTGGTGGGCCGGCGTCTTCGGCATCATTGTTAAACCCTTTTTTGCATCAGGACTTGTGCAATCGCCTGAACACTGACATTGTTAAACCCTAAACCCCTAAACCCCTAAACCCCTAAACCCTAAACCCTAAACCCTAAACCCCTAAACCCTAAACCCTAAACCCTAAACCCGAAACCCTAAACCCTTTTTTGAACCCAGTCTAACCCTAAACCCGAAACCCTAAACCCCTAACCCCTAAGTGTCTCAAGTCTCCGCTCTTCGGCCTCTCCCGCTCTTCCGCTTTCCGCGTGGAGTTTTGGGGTACTCTAACCTCTGTGCTATAATTGCGAGAGTTTGCTATACTATACCATACTAAACATACTGTACTATACTATACTAAACATACTGTACTATACTATACTAAGCATACTATTACTCTATACTGTACTCTACTCTACTATACTATACTAGTCTAGACTAGGCTAGATTAGGCCAGGCCAGTTTTGGCTAGATTATACAGAATTATACGGTGCTGTACTGTTGCAGGGTTCGGTTTAGGGTGCAAGGCTTAGGGTCTAAGACTTTAGGATTTCAGCGTCGGCTGAGGCAGCGCGTCCCCATGCTTACTTATTTAGACACTTAGACTTAGACGTTTGCGGGCAGTTATAATGGTACTTTCACGGAAGTGGAAGTGCAATGTGACCACAGCTGTGGCACTGCAAGTACCTGTGAATTATCCATGAACCCCGGACTCTGCAAAGGCTAGATACAGCACCTATGACCGTACCACTGCGCCTACCGACGAACCCCTAAAAGACCTACGAAGCCCTGATCAGAATGCCTTCGGCCCAACTTACAACTGGGCTCGCCCCGAAAAGCCCTCTGTCCCGGTGACCTACCCAAGGAACAAACCCCACAACCATCAACCAACTACCCAGCTCGAACTCCGATGCTCTGCCAAGGCACCAGTTGTGTATCCGCGCGAGCCAGAAGACGCTGGCCGCCAGGACCTGCCCAAAGAGCCTAATATCGGGGCCTTAATAATTAGAATAGGGCTTTGGGGCCCATTATACTAGAATTATAATAAGGAACCCCCAAAAGAGTATTGGTACTTATTTAGGCCCCTACATTCGCCTTCTTGATTTAAGCCATGTACCTCAGTCTCTGATGAGGTCCAATATTCCGAAACTGAAGCATACATCTCGAAGTGCAGAGGCCCCAAGCCTATGATATCTTGTATGAATTGCTCGAGATTACTCGCAACCTGACGAGAAAGCCGGGGCAAATGCTGCAGGTCGCCCCTTCTTTTGTGTCGGACCTCAGGTAAGATCTGACTGGAGTTTTATATCTTCTCCCTCCATCTGGGCTGTGAAAGCCCAGGTGCTCCAAGGAGATGGGATGCAAAAGGCCTGATGAATTAAGGAAGAGCCCAGCAATGGGCTGACATTGTCTTGATGAATTACTCCCCTGCCCTGCGCACTTTCGGCGCAGCTTCAAGAGGATCTCAGACCTCGCCGGCACTGGGGCAAGTCTGGCTCTGCAAGACAACGCGGGCGTTGTAGGGCTTCACCAGGTTCACGATGACATGGTCCTGATCCGGGCAGTACCTCACCGAGTACTCGTAGTTGCCTAAGCCGCACCCCTGATCATTCTCGATGGTGATCATGTTGTCGTCACTCTGGAACTCTGCACCATCACATTCGGCCGACTGGGGACCTTCCGCCTTCATGTCCACAATGCCCGTGGAGCCGTCATAGCTCAGGACATGGAGCGAGAATTTCTCGACAAGAAACTGGCCTCCGTAGCACGATGGAGCGTGCTCTGCCAGGCCTCCGTTGCCGCTGCAGGCCACCTCATCAAAGGCTCCGCGAAGCGACTTGGGCTCCGCTGCCGCGAGTGGGAGCACAAAGAAGATCGCACGCATCACGGACATGGCGGTGAGGTCGCGGAAAGGAAATCCAAGGAAGGCAAGGCCGAGGAAATCAGGCTGAGAGCTACGGGTGCACCCGAGCCAAAATGGAGGCAGCGGGTTTCTGGCCTCTTACTTCGTAAGGACGAGCCCTGGGTTGAGGGTCCTGAAAACAGATGAAGGCTGCGCGCGACGGTGTGCAGGAGAAGAAGTAAGAAGTGTTAGAAGGAAGGCTGCGATACTTACAGACACACATAGCCAGCACGGACCTTTTTTAGAATCACCTATCAATCGTCAGCAGGGTTCGTGGATCGAGGGTTCAGAGGCCTGGAGCAGTCAGTAGTGGGTAATGTTCAATCTTTGGGAGATTCAATCCGCAAGGCCCTTGGACAGTTCATGAATATGTCTTGGTGGCCGGTACTCTCCACACCCGAATCTTGTTTGCTGCCGGACTCAAGTCTAGCCTTACCCTAAACCCTTATAGCCCCAAAACCTTAAAGTACTAAACCCTTTTTCCAAGCTCCCCCTCCACTGGGCCAGCATGCTTCGTATAGGCCGGGAGATCTGCAAAATCTGACTGTGGGTTCGAAGAGGGCATGGGTCTGTTGCAGTGCTCTTTGGAGGGTTTATTAAGATTGCTTTAGGGCCTTTAGGGTTTTGTTTAGAACCGCACGAACCCAGGAACAAGGCCTGGAACGGAACTCTACAAATTCCAGCCGTGGACACTTGAACGAGCCTTGCCTTGCATCTATCGTAAGCACTGGAAAATCTCTGCATCAAACCCTAAACCCTAAACCCTAAACCCTTTTTGCATCAGGACTTGTGCAATGCAATCGCCTGAACAAACCCAAAACCCTAAACCCAAAAACAATGAAACCCTACATAAGGCTCTGTAAGTTTCTATCTCGACCCAGCAAACAGAGAGACTAAGGCTGTCGCCAGCGACAGTGGGAAGCCCCAGGCAAACAGGGCATCCTGACACAAGGCAACAGCTCATTGTAGCTCATTCTTGAGTTTGGGGTTTAGGGTTTAGAGGGATTAGACTAGCGGTTTGGGTGTACTATACTTCAGAAACAACACCCGGTTTTGGGGCTATGTGCTATGCTGTTGCTATTTTAGGGTGCCTTCACGTATCTTACAAGTCCCGGGGTTATAATAAGGTAGGGGCGAATTTAGTAATAGTATACCCTTATCGTCCCCTTATGAGGTATACTCTAATGTACATATCCCGAAAGCTTCGAACCCCTGCCATATAAAATCTGCAAGACCCTTTTTGCCTCAGGACTTCTGCAATCGCCTGACAACCTAGACATGCGGAGCTTCCTTCAGCTCTCCTGGCTGCACTTCCATACCAAACCCTACAGCAAAACCCGAACCCCACGACCCTAAACCTTCACCCTCAACCATGGCCGCCCCGGCCATGTCGATCCGATTGGTGGAGAAATAGCAGCGTCGCATGGCCCGGAGGTGCATGTACCTGGGGGTTTAGGGTTGATCGTGTTCAGGGGTTAAAGTTTCGACTCCCGCAGTCGAGGCAGGCACAGCTTCGGTCCGTCTGGTTTAAGCTTTTTTTTTGAACGACCCTTTTCCGGCAGTCGGTCGTTGCTTAGGTTTAGGGTTTTTAAGAAAAAGGTTTGGGATTAGGTGTTTTGGGATTATGTCTGGCGCGAGTGCGCTGTTGCTGCCTGATTAGGGAGTTCGACTTCTCTCCTCCTTGCGCTGCTGTCAATAGTGCTGTCTTCTGGGCGCCTGCTTCCTCTCAGCATGTAGGACTCATTCGGTTCTGAATGGATGCGTTGGTACTACCACTGATATTTCAGAAGCGATATGACAATGTTGTGAAACTTTGCTTGTGCACTCTGAACGACATGTACAAAGTACCAAAAGAATACAACATCGGTCAGCACATCAAGACATGGAACTACTTGCTCATGGATGAGAAACACCAGCCTAGAGTGTCAAGTAAGAGTCGCGAAATATGCAGATATCACCAGGCTGAGAGCGCAAGAATGAATGCTAACTAATCGCGACTGTAGCTATGTTTCTAAACGCGGCCCAGATCCCTCTCTGAAGATTAGAACATTAGAACTGGATCGAGTCGAGAGCTTGCTCAGGAGTACTTTCCACCACAACCGTATAAGGACCACAAAGGGATTATCCCACTACTTGTTCGACGCCTTTGTTGTGGCAGCCTACTGAAAATAAATGCCTGCACCCTAAGACCTTTCTGCATCAGAACCCTAAACCCTAAACCCTACAACCCCCTTCTGAGCATTGAAGGCTCCTAGAGTAAGAGGGCTCAAACCCCAAGCACCTCAATGAAAGCCTTCCCAGGAGAGCCCACCTTCCCTTAATCGAGGAATATGGGGGTTTCCGAAAACAAGGGGTACCTTATTGTGGGGTCATTATAACAAGGATCCTACTATTTTGGGTTCTATATTAGGGTCCTAAACCCTAAACCCTAAACCCTAAACCCTAAACCCCATATACCTCACCTCGTGAAGGGCATCATGAAGGCGCTCCAGATCGCCAGTGCACCGAAGGTCTGCCTTGGAGCTTTTAGGGTTTAGGGTTTAGGGTTTAGGGTTTTAGGGTTTAGGGTTTAGGGTTTAGGGTTTAGGGTTAGGGTTTTTGGTTTAGGGTTTAGGGTTTAGGGTTTAGGGTTTAGGGTTTAGGGTGTAGGGTTTAGGGTTTAGGGTTTAGGGTTTTCCAAGAGACTCCAAAAGCCTGCTAATTAAGGAATAGACTTTCTGGATCATATCGAAATTCCTTCTATAGTTTAAGGAATATACCGTATCATGTTAGGTGGCTAAACTACCAGAAATACTCCGTCATCCAGGAATAGATGGTGTATCATGGTAGGGTGATTATGGTTTCTCAATTATATTCCTTTGTAAAGGAATTCTGTCATTTGGGTTCCTCATCCCTTTTTTTGCATCCGGGCTTGTGAAGTCGGCCGGGGAAGTAAACCCTAAACCCCACAATAATTTAAAGGATAGTCCTTGCAAAGTTCCCTAAAAGGGCTCCTACGAGGGTTACTTTTACCCCTCTAAGGGTTCCTATAGGGCTACCAGTACAGGGTTTAAGGGTTTGGGGATGTAGGTGAGGGCTTTGAAGAATAGGTAACATGTGATGATTAGAAGAGGAAGGCCCATTTAAGGGTTTCAAGAAGGGCTTCAATAAGGGACCTATAAGAGCCCTACCATATGGCAGAAAGCAACGTCGCTGAATTTGGAGGCGTCTTAGCTATAGATGTCTTGGACTTAGGGTTGAGGTTAGGATTTCGGCCCCACCTCTCGGTTCTTGGTGGTTCTTGGTGCGTAACCTGTTGGAGGTGAAACCATGCTCTCAAAATTCGGACCAGCCGATTTCGGGTGACTAGGGTGTGGGGTTTGGTGTATATTGTACGTACTACGAGTATATTGCAAAAAGGGTCCCTGGGGAAAGAAGGATACTTTTCGTCCCGACCCCATGTTATACGGGAGCTGCAGCAGACTGGGGATCCATAGACCCTACCAGTAGGATGCTTTTTGCGAGAGGCCTTTCTGTGCCAGCCCCGTGGCGGTTTTCATTAAATGCAACACATCCAACTGTCCGGCCAACATTCCGGGCAGGCGGTAGCTTGCATGAAGCTGCACTAGGCATGCCGCGGCTTTGTACACTATACAGCCTCCTCCACCGGCAATCACAACACTCAGCTTGCAATAGCAGGAAACCTAGATGCCTATTCCACAACTTGAGGAGGTTCCGAAACCCAGGAGGCCTTCAAGAAGACCTGAAGATGCGCTGGACGTGCTTCCTTGTGCCAGACTCAGATCAAAAGGCCCAAGCAAAACAGCAGAGCAGCTCTGTGTGCTCTCCAGCATAGGAACGTCGGTTTGAGAATTGAGAAAGGCGACAGGCGCGTGACACCCGTGGGCCAGCTTGAAATCGGCGCTCGCTCTTTAAATTGGAGCCAAGCGCCGGCTGGAGTCACCTGCACTGTCACAAGACGATATACACAAGAGCTCTTGCAATCTCAGGATTCTCAGGTGCGCTGTACGTTGCACCGAATAACACTAAGGGGTTGAGGTGGGAGTCAACCGTCACCGGAGAGACTTAGCTGTACCTGGGGGCCTGTTGGTCACAGCTAAACGTCGTGAAGTCTGCAAGGTGAGGTACTGCACTTGGCAAAGAAAAGCAGCACCAATCGCAAGGCATCGTCAGCGGATGGGATTCTGACTCTATGCCACAACTCTTGCAGCAGCCCGACCTGCTGTGACCAATCACCTACTTACTTGGAGGTTCATGGGTAGTTATAAGTCTAAGTATGGTTATAGGTCCCCTAATCTGGGTTATAATTCTAGTTAGCCAACTTATAACCCCATGTATAACTACCCATGAACCTCCAAGTACGCTAACAAACTAGGAGCAACAAACTCAATTTTTTACTGCTCTCGGTTCAGGTTGACACTTCAAGATTCTGCATTTTCTCTGAGGCCGCAATGGCCGCTGTAAGTCTAAATCACTTGCCGCCGGCGATGCTGAAAGATGCCGTGTCACGGAATCGAGCACAGGCTCTAGGCGTCATCCCAAGCTTCAAGTTGATGTCGTCGAAGAGCCGAGCAACTTCTGGATCCATGATGAACTGGGAGCAGTGGCTTACCATGTCCAGCACGCCGGCTCGCGAACCCTCAAAGCCAAACTGAGGCAGAATTCGGCGCTGTACCGGCAAGGCGAGGTCGGCTCGGCCCCTGCTGGGTTCTTGTTAAGGAATGTATTTTAAGTTACCATGATGGGGATCTCTAGTAGAAAGTATGGTTTCCCTATTATGGTAACTTAAACTAAATCCTTTAACAAGAACCCAGCCTGAGGTGGTAGTATCCTTCGCAGGCCTGCGCCACCTCCGCGCTGCGCTTCAGGCAGGAGATCCCCGTCTGGAAGCTTGGGCTGCTAAAGGCCGCCAGCTGCTTTCGCAACAGCTTCGCCTGGCTCATGGTTGGGATAATAAACAAAAACATCTGAACCTCTCTGTTCCTTATTGCAGTGAAAGTACCCATCAAAAAAAGGCACAAAGGAAGATCCCAACTAGGACAAAGTGGCGACTGTGAAAGCGGAGCTCGGCTTTGGCCCAGGTCGGTTTACCGGCCCTTGCTCGGCGGTCGGAACACGCCCACTCTGGCAATGAGGGAAGAGCACCTTAGTTGCTGAGTTCATAAGCCCCCAAAAACTGTACACTTTCAGTTCTATAAGGGATCATATCATCCCAAAAAGTGTAAAGTGTACTCACTTAGCTACTAAGGCACTTCTTCGATAGCGATGGCGTTGACGAAGATGTCCGCATCATTGTCAAACTGCTGCATGTCCTGCTCCATGTCCCGCAAGCCGGTCGAGGATGCCTCGTAGCCGTAGAGCGGTAAGATCTCGAGCTTGGTCTTCTCCACGATTGCATCCAGCTCGGCTCTGCCGTCAGCATGATACAAGTGTGTGCAATGCTTTCTGGACATCTCAGCCAACTTCTTCTGGAAAGCAGGAGCCGAGAATGCCCCTAGAAGCTCTGCCTGAAAGGCCAAAGCCCTTGTCTTCGACAGAACTCTCTTCTTGGGCTTCAAGGGTATGAACAAATCCTGCGAAGCCTCAGGCTGCGGCTTCTCCTCATTGAACAACTCTGCGGGTGAGGACTTCAAGCCCAAGAGCTTCCAGAGCTTCTGCACCTTGTCCGCGAGATCTGGGAACTTCTGAGAGATCATCGTGATGGGCCGGAGGCGCTCCACACCATTTCCGGACTTGAAGCCGTAGCGAGCAAAAATGTCGGCATGGCAGTCCTCTGCCAATGCCCAACGGCCTGGCGATTCGTCGCAAACTCCACCTTCCTGGGCCTCCTTCTGCAAGACGTCACCCAGCTTACTCTGGAAGCTCTTGGTGGAGTACTCGCCAATCAGCTCCATGAGCATTGCCTTGGCTCGTGCCCGCGTCATCTTGAGCACCTGTGCCTCTGCATCGCACTGGGCCATGGCTTTGCTCCGCAGATGTGGGAAACCAGGCCTGGGTTCCTTTGGTTTCCCCTAAGCCCTGAGCCAGAATGCCAGCATCCGACGTCCCAGTGTTTTCGCTTTTGGGGAACAGATACGAACCTTCAAATTCCAAGGCCTTAAGACTGTGCGACGTTGGCCTTGACATATACATATACATATACATATACATATATATATATATATATTTATTTATTTATTTATTTATATTTATATTTATATATTTATATATATATATATATATATTTATTTATCTTTTTATTTTATTCATTTACTTACTTTCTTGCTTACCTAGTTAGCTAGCTAGCTAGCTAGTTAGTGAGTTAGGTGGTTAGTTAGTTAGTTAGTTAGTTAGTTAGTTAGTTAGTTAGTTAGTTAGTTAGCTAGGTAGTTAGTTAGTTAGTTAGTTAGTTAGTTAGTTACTCAGTTAGTTGGTTAGTTCGTTACTCAGTTAGTTGGTTAGTCAGTGAGTTGGTTAGTTAGGTAGTTAGTTAGTTAGTTAGTTAGTTAGTTAGTTAGTTAGTTAGTTAGTGAGTTGGTTAGTTAGGTAGTTAGTTAGTTAGTTAGTTAGTTAGTTAGTTAGTTAGTAAGTTAGTAAGTGCTTTACTTACTGATTCGAACGCAACTGTAGGCGAGCATCGTCCGCAGTATGGTTGACAAGACTTTCCAGCTGCAAGCAAGACATGCTAAACCCTCCTGCCGGTTTAAGAAACCCTGAACGCTAAACTCTGTTCAGGAACCCTGAACCTGAAATTCTGTCAAGGAGCCCAAAATCCTCCTGCGATGGGTCTAAGGGCCCAACCAAGCAACGCCCGAGGCGAAGAAGAGAGTAAGGCTGCAGGAAAGCGGCTGGACAACGAAGCCTCTGGCGGTGCAGGGTTCATGGTTTGAGCCGCAAGGCTTTGGGTTTATGTTTAGGAGTCAGGGTTTGGGTTTCGGGTTGAGTATCGGTAATTGTCTATAGCGCAGTCACCTTCACGACCAGAAAAGCAGCAGCCGCACCAATCATACCGACGAACGGGCAAGACCCTAAACCCCTAAACCCTGGTTCTTACATGCTTGTAGTGTTTGTACTTGGGGTGTGTCTCAACCGTAATCCCTGAACCCCAACCCCTAAACCCTAACCCTTACACTCTGAACCCTGAATCGTAAACTCTAAACCCTCAAAGCATCTGAACCCCAGTATGGCCCGGGCCCATGTAGTCGTGGCCCAGACTCATTCCCAAGGGCTCGAAAGCTTTCTCGGCCTGCGGAGACAGGTTAAAGGAAACTACAGGTGGGGAGTTTAGGGTATATAGGGCTTCTATAAGGCTTCTATAAGGTTCCTATAACGGTAACTACCCACCTGAAAATGTCCTAGAACATGGAGCCCAAACGGGTTTAGGGTTTAGAGTGTAGGTCTGCGGTTTTTTCCCTCTCGCACTGCAGAGATCTATGCTCACAGGCGAGGTCGGACAGAGGCTTGGAGTAGTATGCAGCGTCGATGTAGGGTTTTGGGTTCAGGGCTTGTTTAGGAATATACCTTCAAGTTAGAAGGAGCTTCATACAATGACTTAAGCCATATTCCTTGATTATGCGGCACTGGGCTCTCTAAGGATTACGGTCTCGCAACTCGGACACTGCAAGACGAGGTCTCTCGGGTCGGATTGGCACTGGGAGTATCAGATCGAGCGTGCACCTGAGGATCAAAGGCCAAGGTTTCAAACAGAGGGAAGCATACTTAGAGGGTCAGGGTAGTATGCAGAGATGCCCTATGTGTGCCCTTACTTGTATCCAGTATTGGGCTGTCTCGGGTAAGCTTCGCCCAGTTTTGCCGAGAAGCTCAAGGCTTGCTATGTGGCTTTTGGAGGTGGGCTGTCCAAATCAAGGCCCTCTTTGGGTTCGCAAACTATAGGGTGCCGTATTAAGAGTGGAAATATATAGATGGTTTTTCAAAGGGGCCATGATTGTGACAGTTACGAGTAGTCTGCGGGTGCCTACCCCGACAGGTCTTCCTCAGCTGGATAGACGGCAAGATGGCCGTAGATCGAAATATCGTGGAAACCCGGACTACAATACCTCCAACCCCAAATGAAGCTTGAAATGGGCGACGAAGCGATATGTCCAATGCAGGGTACCCGCCACTCTTTCATTGGGGTACAACGGCACACCAGCTTTCAGCGAGCAAGGGTTTAGGACCTGTTCAGGGTCGGGGCGGCTGTCTGGGGTGCAGGGTTTAGGGTGCAGAGGTGAAAGTTAACTCCCAAGCGAAACCGACGACAACCGCAATCACAACGGTATTGTCACGGGTTCAGAACGTTCGAGGGTGATGGGTACAGATTAAGGAACAGTAGCATCCCTAGTCCTGAAAGCCGAAAGCCTTAAACATTGTGCGCCAGACTGCTTCCAAGGCTTAGTTGCCGAGTTCATAAGCCCCAAAAAGTGTACACTTTCAGTTCTATACGTGATCATATTATCCCAAAAAGTGTAAAGTGTACTCACTCAGCTACTAAGAAGAAACCCCTAACCCAAAGCACAAATCGCTGCCCTTTTTTAATGAATCGGCCGGGCTCCCTGAAGAGGTTGGCACTCTTTTGGTGTCCAGGGTTCGGGGTTTCGGGTGTAAGGATTGGGATTTTGGCAGGGTTTCGCATTTGGGTTTACGGCTTTAGGGATAAGTCATTTGGCTTCTGGTACGTTTAAGCACTCAGTTAACATCAGGGCCGCTAGCGGTCTGCAGCTTTGTGCTCCATTGTGGAACTCTCCGAAACGCTGAGCGAGACAACATGCCTCACAACGACAGAGAGATGGAATGAAAACAGGCTGCCGGCGGCTCTTCAACCGATCTTTCCCGCGGCTACGCCCTCATTCACTCCTTGGCGCTGTCTGGAGTCGTCAGGAGGCACTGCCGACAGAGAGGACACGGCACTCGAACATGTTCCACCTTGGAGGCATTGTGTCTGCACCAATCCAGGATGCAGCCTCGATGGAAGCAGTGGCTGCAGCGCAGCTTCAGGGCTCCTTCACCACTGAAGGTCTCCAGACACACTGCACAGGTCTCCTCCCCCTCCAGGAAGATCTCCTCGCCCTCCAGCTGAAAATCCTCGTCGGAAAGCTCCCTCGGCACGGAAGGCTGCTCCTCCTCCGACGTAAGCGCCCGCACCAGCGCGATCGATGCGAAGAGCATGGAGATCACCATGACTCTGAAAGAGCTATGGTCTTCTTGGAGGGGGTTAGGTTAGGGCTTAGGGTTGAGAAGATGGTATATGACAGCTTGAGGTCCCGGCGATCGAAGTAGCAACGACAGCGATAGCATTCCTAACGAATATCATGAAGGTAACCGTGATAATAGTAGCCGATGTCATGACACCACTCATCAGAACAAGAACACCGATAGTAAGAATAACAAAGAAGAAGAATTCATTGGGGGTTCCTGGTATGGGGAAGGCAGCGGGAGGCTGGGAAGATACCACGTTGGGGGAGCCTCAGCGCTGCGAACAAGCGGTGAAGTCGTCAAATGCCGTTTCAGCAGGGCTTAAGGCTTAAGGTTTTGTTTGAAGCACCTTTTTCCTCCTCTACAGAACTCCATAACATCGGGGTTAGGGTTCAAGGTGTTTTGTTTGACGCCTGCAGATGGGGGTCCCAGCTACACACGGAGAGCAGGCAGGCTAGAAGACCTCAAAAGTTTTTTGACTAGGGGTTAGGGGGGGGTACCGGTTTGGGTTTTTGAAGCTTGAAATCTTCGGGCTCTTCAAAAAAGCCGGAACCAATAAACCAAAAAGGGCCCAAAAGCCCGAAAGCTGCTAACTCCCACAAAGCTGGTGCAGGGGGGGGGGGGCATGCCAGAAGAACCCCGACCGAAGAAACCCTTGGGGCCTGGGATGGGCTTAGGGTTTAGGGTTTAGGGTTTAGGGTTTAGGGTTTAGGGTTTAGGGTTTAGGGTTTAGGGTTTAGGGTTTAGGGTTTAGGGAATGGGATGAGGAGTTCAAGCTTACGGAAGTTGCTGTATCTCCATACCTCGAGACCTCAGCGCCCAACTGCCCAAAACCCGTCTGCCGGCGCTGTTTCGTCCTCTATATACTTGGAGGTTCATGGGTAGTTGTGAATGGTGTTAGAAGTAGGGTAACTATAATTATAACCCATATTAGGGGACTTATAACCCCACTTATAGCTACCCGTGAACCTCCAAGCAGGACCCATAGTTTCCCCAATCTCAAGGCAAGCACAGGATGGGCTTCGCAGTTTGAGTCTAGTTCCATGGCGCTCAAATGGCTACCTTACACATAACCCTACTTAGAAGTATCCATGAAATCTTTAGAACCACCCATAGAGAGCTCTAACAACACACGTTTTACCCATTTTACCCTACTTACAACCGCCCGTGAAACTTTGAGCAGGCACCGGACAGTATACCCAAAACCAAGGATTCACCAGAAAAACTTCGTAGTAACATAATCCCACAAACCCGATTCTAATCATTCAGGCTCCTGCATCAAATCCTCCAAAACCCCTTGTTGAAACCTTTTAAAGACCGCGACAGGAACCCCTAAACCCCAGACCCTAAACCGATTGTAACTATAAAGGCCCTTCCATAACTCGAGTTTTCGAGGACTGCCCGCGGGAGTCCCATGACACAGGGAGACCGGCCTGTCTCGCTGTCAGGTCCGGCGTAAAGCTACGGCGATACCTTCAAGAGGAGCCGTTTCCGGTTGAGGTTTTGGGGTTTAGGGCGGTTTAGAAATTTTGAAAATTGGATTTAAGGTTTAAGGTTTCGACTCTAACCGTCGCACAAGGCAGGCAAGGGGTTAGGGTTTAGGGGCTTCGGCGGACACCTTCAGTAGGAGCCGGTTTACCACCCTTCCCACCCACTGAGCTGACCAGGGGGTTCGGACTCTCGCCACTCGGAGTGTTCGTTGTGTCAGGTTTTTGCGTTCGGGGAAGCTTAAAGTTGAGATGAGCTTTGGGCCTAGACGGTCAGAGAGATGAAGCACTGAGGCGGCCTATATATGCCAGCCTTTGGTAGTCGTAGATGTAGCCTGTAAACACTGGCTCCCAGAAACGAACTGACAGCAGGAAGATGCAGAAGATTCACACAAAGTGAATGTGGAATCGTTGGCTAAAGCCTTTACACCCTTTTGAGCGAGGTCTCGCTGAACCTTAACCCTAAACTCCTTTAGAAACCCTAAACTCACGATCCAAGACCTTCAGTTCCAGGGCATCTTCACGGCGAAGTGCCAACTTGCGGATGGAGCGGCAAAAGTGGACTTCCAAACTGAAGCCACGCTCCATCACTGGGGTTTTTTGCAAAGATCCAAAACAGCCTAAACCCTAAACCCTAAACCCTAAACCCTAAACCCAAAACCAGAATCCGAAAGCGGATTCTGGAGGGTATGGGAGGCATGTTTGCACGCAGAATATGGGGGGTTTCCGAAAATTAGGGTACTCTATTTTGGGGTCCTTATAATAAGGATCCTATTATTTAGGGTGCTATATTAGGGTCCCCTATTTTCGGAAATATAGGTATTCTGAGCCTTTCCAACTTTCAGCATAGGCTTAGAAGTGCCCCATTGTGTGGTGTCTGTAAGGAAGAGAGCATCCTGGGGCGCTCGAGTCTCAATCTTCAGTCAGAATAGGAAATCAACCAGCAGCGGAAGCAACAGAACATCAGTGCATAAAACGACACAGCCTCGATGGCTCTAGCTGGGCATCTCTGAAAACCTCCATGGATTTCTTCTTATCCTGCTGAGGTTCAAGCTTGACCATATGCTGCCTGCTTCTGTGCAGCATCCTGGCGAACTGAGTGCCCTGCCAGAGCCTCAGCACGCACATGTTGTAGACAAAAGGCCTCGGAATACCCACAGCTTGTTAGGAGCATCACCGAGCAGAACATGCCAGCCTGAAGTGACTCTCAGTGTCAGGCCTCGCAAGGAAAACGTGAGAAGTGTTGTGTGGTGTGCGGATTTCCGTCATCTGATGCTCAACACCTCCCTCACCCAACTCGCTGCTTCCCCCCATCCTTCTGCCCCCAGCAAAGGGACTCTGCAGACTTGAAAAGTGCGACGACGGCGTAGGGTGGGCTTAGGGTGGGAAATACTGCTTCAATGCCGTACGTGCAGGTCATGTCAAGTGCATAAATCCTTCAATATTCGATGCTGAACCCAGAACCATCTCCGACAATCTCCCTAAATCACTTATGCGGAAAAGGGAAACCCGGACTTTGCAGCAATCCATAGCAGAATCCTAACCCTGCCATGCTTGCGAACATGTCAGCAGAAGCATCTATATACGACTGATGCTGAACTCTGAACCCTGCCCGCCGAAAATGGTTTAGGGTTTAGGGTTTAGGGTTTAGGGTTTAGGGATAAACGCCGAAATGGGAGGCATTGCTCAGTCAATTGCCAGACGAATCCTTGGAGAGGGAAAAGCAGGTAGCCGATGAAGAGGCTGCCGGGAACCAACACCTCAATCGGGGTGGTTTGGGATTTGGGTTCAGGGCCCTAAACCCTAAACCCTAAACCCCTGAGTCGTGGTTTTAGGGCTTTAGGGTGTAGGTTTAAGGTTTCGGCGCTCAAACCTAGGACAATCCAGTCGAGGCCGAGGGGTTTAGGGTCAAGTCCAGTTGACCTCATGGAGGCTTGTTCCGCTTTCCACGACTAGGCAGGCAAGTCTAGAAGACCTATACCCTGAAACCTACACCCTGATGAACTTACGATCGCGAAACGATGTAAAATCGAGGTTGAAACTCAAGGCTTTGCGGGATACAACTCTCACAACACAGTAGCCGCTAAAGCACGACAGCCTTGGTACTGTCGGAGAAGCTACGGAATCGTAGAGGGTCCTCAGTTCACTTATGTTCCTTAAAATGCTTATGCCACAGCATACCCCTCAAACCCTATTCTAAATATGGAGGCTTCTATATTTTGGAACCCTGACAGCAACCGTTCCTTATTCTCACTATGAAGGCGCCTTTTTTATTGCCTCGGGATTATTGCCTCGGGATGTGTTGGGAAGATCCGAAGCCGTTTCCGGGGCCACGGCATGGAACAAATGCACGGAAGCCCGCACCTGGAAGGAGATGTCCTGCCAGAAAGCCAGATTTTATCAGGTCTTGTCAGCATCCATCGGATTTTATAGGGTTTATGGAGCTTCGTGGGATTTTCTATGGTTCGGGAACAGATTGCATATTTTGTGGGGCTCTGAAGGTTTCGCAACCATCGGCATGTCTCGTGGCATCTGGACTCTCCCTCCTGTACCCCCTGAAGTTTCCAGAAATACGAAAAGAATTAAGTAATACACCTTACAACTTTGCCTGGAATCCTAGAAATATAAGATCCCGTGTGAATAAAGGTGCGGTGTGTGGCATCCTTCGGCATCGAGCCCCATTTGCACTTTGAGCTTCTGCACCAACCCGCCATCCGGCTGTAGGGCTTCAGGGTGTCAGGTTTTCGGGTCTGGACAGTCATGGGCTGGCGAACTCGGGAAAATTCTCTGGCGTCCGCGAATGTCGCGATGGGCCTGTGCTGTGAAGCACTCGTTTTGTCTCACTCCGCAAATCCCAACCGCTTAGACCACGAGCTGCTGAACCGTAGCAGAGACAAACCATGAACCTCCGCAATAACGTAAACGTTCAAGGGCTTTCCTTATCAAGCAAAGCCTCAACCCCCAACCCAAAACCCTTAACACCAAATCGTCAACTCCACACAAATCCCAAAAAAAACCTACGGAGCAGGGCCTGCATCGAGGTGATCGCGCGGCCCTCACCCAAGGGCTGCAGCAGGAAGCGGAGAGGATGCGCACCTTTCTTGCGGAAACCGAGGACGGGGTCGGATTTCTTGTGGTGCGCCGCTAGCGCACACGCACACACGGTCGTTTATGTTTACAGTTTCCGGGGAAGCGAATCAATCCAGCGATCAGTGTGGCCTGAACCTTGGGGTGTCTGTTCTGTGTCTGAGGCTGCAGGACGTGGGAGGTGGGAAGCCGACAGTTCTGAAAAGTTGGGAATGAGAGTTTGAGTACAAATGGCAATGCGAGAACTAGCGCACGTTGCAGTGCCAATATTCGTTTACCAAGAGCCACTGAAACTTCGGTCCCTATGCAGATTGAACATCAGAGCCGAAGAATAGAAAACCCTCATCACAGGGATCTATAACCACAGCGACAAAGTATCGTTCAACACGACAAAATAGCCCGCTACTAGCA